ACATATGATACGTTTGGCGTTATAGGGTTGAATAGTGTTCTGAATTTAGAGTTGATAGGAAGTCAACATTTAAAAACAGGCAATAATTATTTATTGCATATAGTTATGCAGAGGGTTTGATAATGCATTCATATTTGTCATCTGTGTTTAAACTGACAAATAAATTCCTATTGCAGAATCCACACACCATCTGCATAATTATATATGTTATATAAGTGTAAGCAAAGAAAACTAAATGAAACTTTTTAGAAAACACCAGTAGTAACCAACAGATCTCACCTCTAGTCGCCACGAGCTACCTCACAGCTGCTAGCAAATATGTATTTACATGTTTTGACAATTAAAGTAGCATAATGTGCTTAAATAAAAATTGTCAAACAATAAAGAAAATGGTCCAATGAGTCCTGCTGTCACAAAGACACCCATTCAGTAAATGTACACACACACACACACAGACACACACACAGGATATGACTCATTGTGTATTGTTTTTTAGCACTTGTAGCAGCCCTTTTAATGACTCACTCTGATTATACCGTCAAACAAATAAACGTCTTTTTTATTGCAATGTAGTATTATTCTAACATTAATATTAGCATGATAAGAGAAAGTTGATTGACTCATTTCCAGGTCATCAAATACCAACGCTTTGAGTTATGCTTAATGTGAAAACCACAGTGAACCACACAGCACAGCTCCCTCTGAGTGCTCCCAGGGCATCAAATACTGACACTTTGGTTTGCCAGAATGTTGGTATTTGATGACCTGGGAAGACTCAACAATCAACTTTCCTTTTTTTGTTGTTGTTTAGAATGACCCCACCTTTAATTGAAAAGTGAAAAGTAAAATCCCAGAAGAGGATGAAACAGGCTTTACAAACACTTTGAAATCCAGATAAATACTGCAGTATTGCTAAGAGATGGTTAATGTTGTTCATACAAAACATATCAAAAGTAATGTGTGACTGTAACCATGCATGAACCTTTCTATTCTCCAATCAGAACACCCTCAGGCTGCAACAACAACAGAAGGCCAGGAAGAGACCATTCCACAAACACAACCTTCTGATGGTGAGGATGGTGACCCCACTGTAGCCACTGCGGAGTCAACCACTATAATCACCACAGAACCCTTTGGAGACAGTGAGAGAAGCACTATGGCGAATCCCATTCATGAAGACTTTGGTTCTGGTATATCTTCTGACATTGAGGGAGCCTCTACAACGTCCCCTGTTGGAGAGACAAAGGAAACACAATCTACCCCTGAAAATGAGCGACAGAACGATATAATGAAGACTGAAGAAGATGACAGCACAACAAAATGTAAGAAAAACACAAGCAAAAATAAATCAACACACAACTGCCATAAATCAAAGCACAAGTAGAGTTGTGTGTATGATTACAGCTCACTAAAGGAAATAACAACACCTGACATTATATAATTATAACCATGCAATAGAAAGCACCTCTGTGGTGCTAATATTGTGGAGACTATATCAGAGAGACTGAGTGGTGATACAACTCTGCAGTCATTTTTGGATTGCATTATATCGCAAGATTCCTGTTATTTGATCTAACTTCTGTATATCCAAAATCATAGAAAATGGTGAGGCTTGAGTTGATTTATGTTTAAAATGCATGGAAACATTCCTAAAGAGCAGCACATCCTGATATCAGATGCAACAGGTTTTTGGGAGGACTGAAGTAACTTTAAGAACATATGACGCCCCCTTGTGTTATGGTTATGCTGTGGAGTGGATTTGTTACAAAACAGGTCTCTGTGATTTTGTCTCCACATTCCTTACAATTCAGGGTACAAGAAAAATTAAATCAGGTCTATAAATCCAATTAGTTTCATTTTAACTGCTTTATACAGATCATGTAAAGGGAAACTTTCTTATTATGTAGCTTGCACACGATGCCACAAAGCCTGCAGCTTCAGATGTAGTTTTTAATCTCATTGTACATGTGTATAGTGACAATAAAGGCATTCTATTCTATTCTATTCAAAGAGATGAAAATGCATATATGATTTAATCTAAAGTGACCATATGTACACAAATACATCTGGATATTTCATCTAGTCTTATGTTTTAAATATGCTTGTCTTTGCTAGAGTGGGTAACTCTATGTCAGTGAATGACCTGTATCCAAAATGACTGAAACGTTTGCCTCTTGTTTTATTGACATGCAGCACCACAAAATCCTAATGGCAAGGGACGGGTCCTGGGTCCTGTTGTGCCGACTGAGGAAGGAAAAAAGGAAAACGAAACGAGTGAGCAACCATGCTACTTCACCTCTAAGACCCTGAAGTCCATAGTGATTGCGGTCAAATAAGAGCATGCTGGGAAAGGGCACTCTTATTTGGATGCACTCTTGACTTTTTATATCTTACTAATTCAGCTTTAATACTGTCAACTCATGGCTTGTTATTTCTCCCTCCAGACTGGCTGATAATCCTCCTAGTGATTGTGGCAGTTGTTGTTATTTTTGTAGTGTGTGCAGCTGTTGCCAAAAGAAACAGGTATGTGTTTGTAGACATAAACATAACCCCCCGTTTCTCTGCCTTACTGTGATCAATAGTCAGTGTTCCAATTTTCACATATTTTGCTGCAGACTGAGTGAGGGCAAAAAAAAAAAAAAAAATCAATAACAAATACATGTGTCTGAATGTGCTTTTGCAGCTTGTGCGGCAAACAACAGACCCTGATGATCACACCCAAAGACGGTGAGGGGAACGGGGCGGCGGCATCAGCATCCAGCTCCCACGCCCAGGAGAGAGAGCAGGAGATGGTGACCCTCATGAACAAGGAGAAGATCCAGGAGAACGGCAACACAGAGGAGTTCACCGTCATCACGCTAGAGGAGTCGCCAGATAAAGAACAGCTGGCGTGAGAGAGGAGCGTAGAAGCAGTAAAAGATGAGAATAGGAGGGATAGAGTGAGGAGATGTTTGGGTGGGTGGGGGTGGAGCTCCAAACACTGGGGGGTAAAAAAAAAAACTGCTTTGGTGGCCAGCACTGAATGGACACTCAGTAAGGGTGTAAGTGTGTGTTATTTAGAGATTGTCTTACTGAGATAAATAGTGTTGTACTGGCAAACCAACCTGTGCAGCATTTTGTTTGTGTGGTATGCCAGGTTAATTAGGACTGAATGGCGGTCAAAGACTGTGTCATGCATGGTGGGGTATCATGTATTGGGGCATAATGGGTGCGTGAATGTGTTTTCTGTCAGTTCTTTGTGTTTGTGAGCTGTATGCTTTGTTGATGACAGGACTGGATGGGCTTTAAAGGGAGAGGGTGGTGAGGGTCTAATTTGTGAAGATGACAAATTATTTTCTTTTTATAGGATTGGTGGATTTTAAATTATAGGGTCTTTCAGCCTAAATGGGAAATAATAAATCAATAAAGATAACTTTTTTTTAAGTTTGAGATACTGCAGATAGAAAAAAAAATAATTTTGAGTAAAACAACCATTCCATTTTTCCATTCCATTCCGTTTTCCATGTGTTTCATTTCTTTGTTTTGTTTGCTTATTGTTGTAACCTTGTGTATATTTCAGACATTGCCTGTGGACTGGAGTTTGGTTTTTTCCATTTTCAAGAAAACTAAGGGATGTCACTACCTTAATTTATGCAGCTTTGATTCCCTTTTTCTTGGTCTTTGTATATAAAGTATATGTTTTGGAAATGCCTTAGCAATAGCTGCCAGTGCTTTTTGTTAGCTAGAAAAGGGTCTTGTATCCCTTTTAAATAAAGGAACGTGTCATACTTTTTGAGAGTTATTTAATTAGAAACAGTACCTCTGAGGTAAACAATTGTGAATGGATTTTGCAATAGTCAAAGTGGAGTGGATATTGTATGAATCAAGTTGATGTATAGCATCCAAAACTGTGCAATTGATGCACCATTGAAGTCAGTCAATATGGTATGCATTTATATTGAGTTGTGAATATGATAATATGATGTCCCCGATGTTATCCTGAGGATAAGTAGAACGATAACGATGATGTATACATTCTATATACACAGTGTGTACATTGATTAAGGAAAAAAAACTGCAAAATAAAGAATTGGATACAGCAGATTAACCATCTTTTAAATACAAGATTTAAGCTCAATCGAGACACGAGAAGTGAGTGACAGCGGCCTAAGATGCTAGATGCTAAACTACATGGCACATATGATAATGGGGGGCCCATGTGCTGTAAACATAGCAATGTAAAGGTTTTCCTCATGAAAGAGGCTGTGAGAGCGTTGTCTGTGTGCTCCCAGGGGGGAGGGGCGCGCGCGATGAATGAAACCTGTGTGCTTGCCTAGGCCTTAATGTGCCGGTTACTCTGTACATTCACACAAGTAAACGAAATGCTGCAGTTTTTCTACTAATCTTCTCATTGGTGAAATATATCATACCTTGTGCCATATCAATATGATTCCCTGTGTGACAGCTAATTTCTCCTGATTTTCAGTATAACACTGAATTGTACAAACTGATTGTAAACTGATTTTTTTTCCCCGACTTGTTCAGTTTTTTTTCCTGCTTTTGCTCTTATAGAATTCATTTTGAGGAGAAGTAGCAAATGTACTAGTGTAGGCAGGTTTTATGACAAATTAACATAATATGTCGCTGAAAACATTTGTAAAGTCATGAATGAAAATAAATGTGTATAGATAGAAATACACAGAAATGTGGTGTTCACTCACTGATTACTCTGTATGCGTGAAGACAAAGGGGGTGCGTGAATGGCAAGACCGGGAATGCGAGTGGTTACATTGCCCCCACATAAGAGGAAGTGAGGTTTCCATGGCACCAGGGTCGTGATGTGAGAATATGTTAACACAGGAAATGAAGACTGATTAAGACAGCCATTTTTAAAAGATAGAGATGGCATCTTTCCATACAGTGTTAAACTGCATGTAGCAGTCTGTCTGTCTTCACTGACACACATTTAAAAGAGCACAATTTCCACTTATTTAACATGCAGTTATTTACTCATTGTTCACCATTCTAAAGCTGCACAGACATAGTACTGCTATCACAAATAACTTGTAGTAAGTGTAGTAAATCAGTCTAAATGTTGAGAACACGTTCTTGGTGCTATTTAGTTATTATTTTGTAATGTTTTTCTCTAAGTTTGCATAAGCTTTTTTCAAAAATACAATCCATTTTTCCCAATATTTTCATAAAATGGTCACTTAGCTCTATCATTTTTTCCAAACAAAACTGTACTGTTTGTAATTTTCACTGTGTAACATTTAGGAGGTTCTATTGGCAGAAAGAGAATATAATATTAATTTATGATCCCCTAAATATATTTTTATCTACAGAAGCTGCAGGTTGCCTTCCATGGAGTCCACCGCATTGAACCTACAGTAGCTCAGAATAGACTAACTGAACACTGGCTGTAGATAGGGGGGTTTTGCGTTTTTTATGTGTTCCACAGCCACTATAGTTTTACCTACACACTTTACAGCCCATTTTCATTCCCACGTTATCGAATATAGATGTGAGCAGTCTTCAGTTAGTTGCAATCTGCAACCTCACCACTATATGCCACTAAAGCCTACACTGGTCCTTTAAGCATTTAGGTCCAAATACATGAGTAAAAACTTTATTTTTGCACTGTTCTTCTGATGTTGTTATTAGATATCCAATTTCAGTTTTTCATCCTGGTAATGGTGCAGTGTGATATTAACTTACATTCACCTAGATCATCACCTCTACAACTTAAAAAAATTATATCTTTATATTTAACGTTCCTCCATGTAAAATGTGATATTGATATTGTGTGGGGTTCATACACAATATATATACAAGCCTGGATTTAGCAAAGCTTTCTTTTTCTGTAAAGAAAAAAAGGGATAAATAAGCATAAATGACAAGGCAGACTGGTGGGGCTTAAAAATAGCGAATAAACAGTTAATTTTCCATTTCAACCTATTTAGCCCTTAACTTAGTGAAATGATTGTAGATGAAATTTTGTGTTCCATTATGCACCTTTGCTTTAATGTTTTTAGAATAATGCATCATTAAAATGATATTGTCTGCACTGTCCGGGAACTAAACAACAGAAACAGAGATGAAAATGTATTTCTTTGTGTGTGTAAAACAAAAGAAAATCGTGTAGTCAAAAAATCAAAAGAGCAGTCAATATTTAGTTATGAATCAACATTTATTAGTTATATTTGTATATGTACACCAAAGGTACAACACTTACTGATATGTAGAAACAGATTTTTTTATGTATACCATAGACCGAGGAAAGATTTCATTTTTTTTGTCTTTTTTTTCTCCCCCACACATACGCTCTGCCTTTACATCAAAATTACAACAGCTTTACAAAGAGGGAAGGCCTAGAAAAGTAAGATCAGGAAAGCACGTCGTAGGCAGGAGTGAGACAGGTTATCAGCTCTGTTTAGGAGTTTCTTCAAAAAGACACATTTCAGTAGAAAAGGACAAGCTTAAAGATATACTGTCTCTTGGTTGAAATACTGTGTCAATAGCTTTCCATTCAATCAGTACCATATAGCTCAGCAAGTTCCAGGTGTTTGTGCGTGCATAAAGTTTCTGTGTAGAAAGCAAAAAAGGCAAGTGGAGTAAATGTAGTTTACAGAGTGGGATTTCAATAATCCTCCATGATGTTGGTGGCACATCAGAGGTCAGATATGTGAAGATGTGGCATGTAGACAGGGTAACAAAGAATCTAAAAGATCTAGATATCCATTTCTTGCAGCTTTAATAAACACATGCACCAGGTAAACAAAGATGCCTGAGACTAAAGCCAGTTTTCGCCATTGAAAAGACAAAATGGTTCAGATGAGTCACCTGAGGAAGGTTGCTCTACTGTTAACAGGCAGCTGAGTATTTGTTCTTCCACTCAAATCAACTCCTAGACTGTTTGATTTCTCACTCTATCCTACATACAGGGCAAAATTGAGCTTTACCTTTATTTGTCTCTCTTTTCTGCAACTTTTATCACAGTAATTCCAGCCAAAATAACTCATGTTGGCCCCCTTTTTTAAACCAGAAACTTCCCCTCGCTCTTTCTCTCTCTTTCTCACTCTCTTTCTTTCTCTTATAAATGCAAACCTGTTTGCTTCAGGACCACTGTAATTTCCAGAAAATTCTGCATTGCCACTGAACAGAACAATTATATATTTATTTATGTACAATGAAAATGAATGCACACTTCTTATATCTTCATGGAACAAACATTCAGAATGCTTACATTAGATTAAAAAAAAAGATATTTATATATTGGTGTGTGACAGGTAAGTAAAACAACTAGTTAACAGCTATTAGAGAATAAAAAAACAAGCAATTTATTACACGATTTCCTCTCTATACATTTTGTCTAATCTAATTTTACTCAGGACATATGATATTTTTTTTTCCTAGAGGATTACATTAAAAATGTCACAGCAATGAAACTATATTCCTACATACCATTCCCACGCCCACCCCTGAAAAGAAAGCAAAAGGAACAAAAAAAAAAAAAATCTGTTACCTACAATATATACACAAAGTGCAATGAGGCACTTCAAAATATCATGCTTTTAAGATAGTGGTGCAAAAAAATAATTATCATTTTATTTTATTCATGCTTCTAAAACCATGAGTTTGAACATAATAGTGGTTCAACACTCAATCCCCATCATTGACATATGGTCTGCATTGTCTCCTTACTGGAGAGGATTTTTTTTTTCTGAAGATCACAAGGTCAAAAGATCAGACTCAAGGGGCTTCTCAGGGTGTCAGTGCTGTGTTCTGCAGCTTGCTGATTACAGTTAGAAATTTAGTGACCTTCAAGGTCTAAGAGTGTTTGTGCGTGTGCTAAAAATGTGTGCATGCTTGTTTTTTGTGTGTATCAGTATGTGCAGTGTTTACAGGAGAACACCAAATGTGCTCTATGTTGTGTCACAGCACACTTCTGTTAGCCGAGCTTAAAAAAATCAAAGACCTCTTCTGAGAGTGTGTTTCAGGAACTAAAAGACAGAGTGTCGTACTAAGTGTTTTGTTAATTTTCCTAGTGTTACTTAAATTGGCATTTGTTTGAAGTGAACACCTCCAAGGCAAGGTTGTCTTTAATGAAATGAAAAGAAACAAGACAGGAGAGAAGGACACATTACTGATAAAGAAATCACACCCACAACGCAGAAGTCTCACCTCTCACTCGCACAGGCTAAAAAAAGATTAACAGCCAGTAGCCCAGCTTTGTTTGTATTTGCAGATCTTTTTAAGCCATTTGGTTCTATGAGAGGATTTTTTTTACCTGATAGATAGCAACATTCTGGCATAATGCATGTGAAGTGTCCATTGTTCTGTTCTAAGTTTCCTAAAACGTCTTGCACCAATGTGGACACACAGCTGCAGCATCTAGGGTTTGTAGAAACAGTCTTGAGCTCTGGTGGCTAAAATATATTGTTGTTTACCTTTTAAGGTCTGGCTAAACAAGAAGCTGGCAAGCAAGAGTGTTATATCAATGATCTGTCTCTGTTTGTGCAAGCCAAGAATCCATCTGACAGCTGAGTGCTGTGCTACTTCTTCCTCCGTTTCTTTTTTTAAATGTTTCTAGTGGTTTACTTTGTGTACTCTGTGTTCAGTAATAACGTAAGTGTACAAATAGTACGCAGGTTGAGGATCATTCAACCACTGGAATGTTGTCTTAAATATATTTGTGTGCTTCCTATATGTGCTTCCCAGCATATCATCATATTATAAAATCACTATCTTTCATCAAAGACCTTTGCAGTGAACTGTCACTGTTCAGAGTCAAAGCTTTCAAAAGTTGTGCTGTTATGAGGCCTTTTTCTTGAAGCTCTAGTGAGCAGGTAAACATTTTAGGATTACAAAATTTTTTTCCCTGTAAAATAGTAAACATACAAGCCTGAGTATCTGTTCCTGTTCCATTATTGTATTTTTAAAATCGTTTTTTAAACTTGGTATACGATCAGTGTCAACATGGAAGGATAATGTGCATGACTTTGATTATGCCTCTGACTGGAAATTATCCTCACTGACATTTTGGCTTTATTTGTGCTCTATCACTCTGTTTGTGCTCTATATATCTTTTTTTGTGTCTTAATTTACCCAGATATGGCAATTAATAATTATTGTTTGTTTTTACAATAATAATTTTGATGCAAATCTTTTTTTAAATTTCACTGGCATTACAGTTACTTTTTTGGAGGAGGAATGTAAAGTTTCATATTTAGGGCAGTGACATTCTTTCATTTAAGTTTTGAGGCTTCATCAGAAAAGGTGGTGATATCAACTGCTGTGCCATTCAGTTATAAATGGACAGGAGGAAAGAAAACTGAAAACTGTCTTGAGAGTGACGTTATGGAGGCAGTTCAAAGGCCTCTGTGAGTTGATTGATTTTCTGCCTGTTTGGTCCCTATAATTGACTTGGTCATGTTCTTAACCTAGCTCTCTCTCTCTCTCTATCACACACAAACACACAAACAAGTTTTATATCTCACTCAGTAGGTGACACAAAGAAAAAAGTCCCTTTTTTACAGTAGACAAAAGAAAAAAAACACAAAGGGGAAAAAATGGGCTCCATGGCATGATTTGTGCTTTATAATCCCAGGGCGACTGTGCTTGTAGGTTTTCCTGTTCACTATTGTTCTCCCTGCCTCCTACCCTTTCATCAGTTTGCTGGACCTCAGGGATAGTGGGTAATATTGGGCAATGCAATCAGCAGTCAGGTGCACTTTAAATGCTCTGACAGTTTAAGAATAAGAAGTGATGTTCTTACAGTAGATGAGAGCAAAGGAAGAGCGGTGGCCTAATGCACACATTGTGATGGTACTGACAGGGATGTAAAGCAAGGATGTTCAGTACAAACATTACATTGGTTTTCACGATTAATTAACTCCCACTCCTCTTCTGGCATTAGAATAATGAATCACCTGTATTTATATAACTAGGAAACCTGGAAGATGTTCTCAGTGCATCCCATTATACAGCTACTTCTTCTCTCATCTTATAAATGTAGAACAAAGATGTATTGCTAGGAATAGCTTATCTAACTTTTTTCTCTTCCTTCCCTCCCCAAGCCTTGAAGTATGTTGTGCAAGTATCTGCTATATAGGACATAATTGTGCTCTAACAGGTAAAGGTATACCTCTTATCATTTCACGGTTAAGTGAATTAGTATTATATATCAGTCAGATAGACAGTTACAAAAACCTTTAAAGGGACTAATAAAAAAGAAAAGAAACTAAACTACATAAAAAACAATTAGTAGTTCTGTTCGTGTGACTTTTTTTTCATTCACTCTTTCACCAGATAGGAAAGCTTGTGGAGCCCAGGAGCAGGGGATCTCTGTGCTGCCATTATTCATGTTTCCATGGTTCCTCCTCAACAAGCGTGCACTCCGCAGCAGAGCCGTTAGTGGCTGAGGTTACCTGTAAGCAGTTAGCAGGGAGATCTAAACAGCGGATCCAAGGCACATACAAAAATCACAGTTTATTTCTCATAAAGCTTTCAAGAGAGCTTCTAATAATTCTGCATTATCGATTCAGTGCTCCCACTTATGAGATACTATTACTTAAAGTTTCAGCGAAGTAATCTGACTGGTCAATCAGGCTTCCAAAGCTTATAAAGCATGGTTGACCATCATGTATTGCTTGCTATGCCATCAAAACAGCAACCTTACCAATCACCTATCTACATACCTGCTATTTCCTGCTTATATGTCATATGTTGAAGTAAACCTTTTAGATAATACACATGACTGTAAACATTTTAAACTGTAAAGCCAGAATACCACTTAGGAAATTATTTTCTGTAATTTTGGGTATTGTAGCAATGGTACTTTGGCAATTAAAACACAGCCTCTTAGGTATCATAGCTATTTTGCAACATGCAAAAACTATGGAGGAATACTTCTCGTACTCCTGTACGACCATGATGATCATGCTTATGGTAGTCCTAAGAGTAGAGTTTCTTTTACTGACCTGGGAACAGACCAGAAATGTATGATGACCAAAAACTCAACAGACATTAAAAAATAAAAAATACAAATACAAATGAACAAATTATAAATAAAACAGACAGGTTATATAGAAAACAAGGTACAAACTCTACAGAATGAATGCATTGTTATGTTATGGCTACTTTGCAAGCAATCTACAGTGGTTTGAATCTTTGAAAAAGGGGTAAGAAATGTGAGCGGTATTATTTACAGACAAAACAGACCAGAAAACCGGAACAAAAATTAGTCATAGTGGATACTGGAAATAGCAAGTCTTTGTGTCACATTTATACGTAAATGTCTAATAATAAAGACTCAGGAATGGGGAATATAACTTTTTACTATGGACAGATTACTTGTGTGATAGGTTGCCAGCGTTGCTAGGCAACGCTTTTCATCCTTTATGAATAGGCTCATCAGTAGACCTTTTCCACCAGGGTGTGTGTGTGTGTCAGGGAACAAGCACTCTGAACTCCTATATATTATTCTAAAAGCCTGGAATAATTAGAACAACGGAATTCAAAGTACATTATGTTTTACATTATGGAGACTACTTCCCAGCTTTTGATTTCACACACAGTTCTCACAGTGTGCAGAAATAGCTGGTGTCAAAATGCAAAAACACTGACTGTGAATGATTCAGTGACGGCGTGGCAGATGTCTGTATGTAGGGAATATATGAACTGTTAATTAGCTCCAACACTTTTCTCCTCTCCATTTTAAATCCTACAGGAAAGAATGACCCTTTGGAAATAAACCTGTTTTAACAATTAAAATTAGCTACATTTTAAGATAAAGAAGAATTAACCACACTGGACATTAGGCTTAACAAAAGGAAAATGAGAACTAAATGATTACAGACAAGGGAATACATTATTCTAACAAGGCGTTTTTTGGGGAAAATGGATGTAGTGTGAACTTTTGATAGATAGGAGGGCTGCTAAATAATTCCTCAGGGTCATAATGAGGATTATCTGGCTCTGCCTTTTGATTTAGTGCCAATCCCCAACAGGTTACAGTCATCAGCTTAGGCTGATTAAAAAGCAAGGGCTGATTTATCCATCATTAGTATGCACTGAACTTCAATCAAATTTTAGTTTGTTTGATTTTGGAAACCTTTGACAAGAACACTACATTTTGGACGTTAACTCAACACAAAAGCTGCTATTCCAGAAGAATAAAATACATACATACACATGCATCTGTTGTTCTCTTGCTTCACGTATGTCGTAAAATAACAGTGGGTGCATTTACATTGTTATGTACAAAGATGCAATGAATAAAACAAACAGAGTCAGGCAAAGGTGCAGGGTGAGCATGCAAGAACGGAGATGGTTATATACAAGTCTCTATGTCCGTAAGCATTAATTGTACCTTGCATTCATCTACTACGACAGAATTGTTAGCAGTGGCGGTAGCGGTTGTGGTAGCGGTAGAGGTTAAAACGCACTGGTTGGAATTGTTTTCGTGGTGGTTCTTCATGTCATCGTAATAAGATTGGGTCTTCGTCATCATTTCAATGTCATCTGATTTAGCTGCATGCGCGTCCAGCTCGTCAAGCTCCGCCTTGGACATGTGGTACACGATGCCTGCACCGTAGGAGTCACCCACCACATTCACTGAGGTCCTGAATCGATCCCTGAGGAGAGAGAAACCAGGAAAAAAAAGATGGTTTTGCATACTTGTTAGAATATGAGTAAAATACTAGGTGGGAATTTCCAGATGTACAAAAAAACGTAGAAGCAAAGGGAAGAATCAGTGTGCAATCACAGTATGCATTTTTGTCTTGTCAAACTCACAACAGCCAGTCGACAGCAACCAAAAGACTGATGTCTTGGGTTGGCAGGCCTACAGCAGTCAGGATCAAGAGCATAGTCACCAGGCCGGCACTGGGAATACTGGCTGCTCCAACACTGGCGAGGGTAGCTGTCAAACTTAATGAAGACACAGCAAAACAACACTCAGTCACATTCTCCAAACCCACTATACCTGACCACATCCTCCACAACCAACTCTCCAACCTGCACAACTCCCAGACACTAATCAACGTGAAATGGCTCCATTAGACAGCCACAGATGAAGACATTCACTCTCTATGGTACTCGTTTAAAGAGCAACAGCTGAAGAGCACCAGAGTGGGTCCTCCATCGCACATGTGAAGAGGCTTAAATGTGAGAGATGGAATGTTTCATTTGATGGTTCGTGGACTGATATGTCATAAAAATGTCATGCTGAAGCCTTTTCCGTCCTTGACTCACTCTATTAACAGAAGAGCATTTGGAAAAGGTGGTTACATAAACTGGGTTAGTGTTTATCTTCCTGCTTAGCATGAGACAAGGCACTGGCACAAGTTGTTGCTTTCTCCTCGTGGTTTAATTGACCCAGAGAAGTTTTTCTGTTTAATGTTAAATGCTGCTACATTGCTGCTCTGTTTATCCTCATTTATTAAGAGCTAACCGTGTTTGCTGAACTGTATCTCTGAGATCCATTTAAAGCCTCTTTAAATAGGGAAGAGAGCATTTAAAGAGTCCTTTTAAGAAGCATCTCTTCATACAGGAATTGCTGAAATATCATGGAAGGTTTCATAATTTAAATTAGTGACATTTCCAACATTGCAAATCCAAGTCTTTTACATGTCGTGATACAATAGTACACTTGACGATTTCAAATGAGATCACACTGTAAAAATAAAAATAAAATATGGTATGTTTGAAGTACAAAGATAAACTATCATGAGTTTCTCCTGACCTGACGGTGACAATCTGACCAGGGTCGAGGTGGATGCCGTTCATTTGGGCAATGAAGATGGCTGCAACAGCCTCATACAGAGCAGTTCCGTCCATGTTGATGGTGGCACCAACTGGGAGCACAAAACGAGTGACTCTTTTGTCAATACCCAAGTTCTCCTCCAGACAACGGAAGGTTACAGGCAGTGTACCAGCACTGCAGGGAGAAGCAGAAGAAGTAGGGAAGGAGGAAGATATTTTGTATCAGTTGTATAAATATCTAAATATAATATAAACAGCTATCCATTCATTTTGATGCTTACCTGGAGGCTGTCCCCAGGGCAGTGATCCAGGCCTGGAAGATGCCCAGGAAGAAGGTGAAGGGGTTTTTCCTGACGATAACAAAGTAGATGCTGGGCAGGAAGATTGCTCCGTGGATGATGAGGCCGATAATCACAGTCACCATATACATTCCCAGCTGCCTGGCCACCACTTCCAGGTCCTTGATGGAGATGATCTTACCACAGATGAGACAGGCAATACCGAAGGGAGAGTACCTGGCGAAAAAAAGCTTTTTTTATTACTTTAAATTTAGCTTTGAATAAAGAACACAAAGAATTTGTCAGGACACTTTGACAAATTCTGCTTCACATAGCTACTATCTTTCAAAATGTTGCAATGACTTGAGAAATAACTTGACATTAACAGTTATTTCTGACTCAAAACAATTAAATGAGTTTCAAAATGAGTCAATGAGATTCTTAAGTGATACTAACCACATGATCATGATGACAAGTTTCATCACAATCTCATTGAGGATGTTGAAGAATTCAATCATGAGTCTGGCCCTCTCTCCCATCTTGCCCATGCAGATGCCAAATGCAATAAAGAAACCAATCAGACCTGTGACAGAAAATCATGAATGTATCAAACTTTGAATACCAGTGTGGACAGGTGAAATGACTACCACATGAGGGAATTATTATTAGGAGTTTTACACGACATGAAATTCTGTAAATGCAATACTGTAAAAAATATTGCTTTTATTCTTATCCATGCAGCATGACCCTAGGGATGACAAAGACAGTTGGTTGGTCCAACACTTTGGTCCAGACTGAAATATCTCAACAACTATTAGATGAATTGGCATGAAATTTGATAGAGATATCCATGGTGCCCAGAGAATGAATCACAATGACTTAGGCGATCCCTTGACCTTTTTTCTTGCATCAGCAGCAGGTCAAAGTTTTAACTTTTCCTGAGAAATATACCTTCTATGTAATGGAACAATACAGACTGTCTGATTTTGATGATTCCTTGACTTTTCCTGTAGTGCCACCACAGGGTTCACACTTGTGGTTTTGAGAGAAATAACCCTTAGGATGAATTGCAACTTTGGTGTTCCCTTAAGTTTTCATCTAACACAATCATCATGTCAAACAATCAGTTTGTTGTAGGCCTATAAATTGGTTTATGACCAAATACCTGTGAAACTAATGACATCTTTGTGAGCATGTTAGCATGTCCATATACTGTGTTTTCGGTTGGTTACATACCCAGTACATTCATGCCACTTTTGAACTGCAGAGACTTTTTGATGAGGAACTGAGGCTCCTTGGTAATGTTAGCCACCAGACCCTCCATGGTGGTGGCATTGACATCCTCCTCAATAGCCACCTCTACCTTCTTTGTGACTGTCTGGATCTGAGTTAAAGAAGGAAAAGATATGAGTAATGAGTTTGATGAGCAATACTGGGCTCCTGTATGATGTTCCCTATGACACAAGGCCACTCGACTGTCAGTAATCGTGTTTGCAAATCTGTTTCTTTGGTGTGTTTTTTTGTCCACTGTGCATTTGGATTCCTCTGTTAATAAACCCAATCATTCCAGGGCTAACAGTGACTTCCAGATATCACAGACAGAGTAGTGAAGCGATAATCAAACTTCAGCATTAAGCTGTTTATCATCTTGTTGTTGTCTTCCTCCATTACCTGTTCGAAACAAGCCTGCACCAGGTTCTCTGGGAATAAGTTCCTGATCAGATCAAAGAAGGCATCCAAGCTGGACACGTCATCATTTTTCTCGCCTTGGCCCAGATTCTCCTTCAGTTTGGGGTTGCCGGGGTGGATGACTAACACCAGGATGACTCCCAGGATAGCAGCAATAATAGTGGTGGACATGTAGTAGACCATAGCTCTAGTGCCCAGGCGACCACTGGATTTGGCATCCAAACCAGCCAGACCTGCAGCCAAAACAAGCAAGATCATGTTTACCTGGTAATTACTTGGATTTATTGAATGGAAATGTTGACTTAATACTGAGGGGCATGAAGGCTGGAAGCAAAGACCATTAGGGGATTACATAATAGTGTTTGATCATAAACATGATGGCATGATGTATAACATAAAATAATTATGATTTCAAAATCAAGATTACAATAATAGCAAGGCTTTTTCCTTGCCCTGTGTCTATTTTTAGCAGTATCACAGCAGTGAAAGTTGTAGATAAAGGAATTTAGAGTTTATTCGCCCTCAAACTGAACTGCACATGAGCTGCTCAATGATAGTATCAAGTGTAAAAAGTTCAAATGTGGTAGTAAAATGTCTACAATATCCAATATTCTTGTAATAATGTAATGTATTTGCTACAAGTGATTGGTCACACTTCACCTGTGATTAAACTGGAGATGATGAGTGGCAGGATCAACATCTTCAGCATCCTCATCAGGATGTCTCCAGGAAAAGCAATCACCATGATGATATCTGGGTGAATCGGGGAGGCAACGCGAAGCAACATCCCTGATACAGCTCCCAAGATCACACCTGAAGTGCAAGGAGGAGTGTGAGTGAGTAAAACTGCAAGAGTGCATAATGAGGAACCACAGAGAGAAAGTCACGAAAAAGAAAATCAGATAATGCATTTGAATGGAAAAATTATTCAAATGAAAGCCTGTGTCAATGGGAAAAACACAGATATAATCTATGAATAACAAATGAGCAATGATTGCCTCCTTAAAGAAGCCATAATAACTGACCCCTGTCATATTAATTCAGTTGTGTTGGCGCTGTACAACAAGATGTCTGCTTAAAGAGGATAGTGGGTTGAGAAGATGAAACAGAAACTTGCAAAGAGAGTAAAGATCATGGAGGATTAAGATCAGAACTCTTTGAAGCAGCAAGGAGGAGGCAGCATGTCAGACTCCCTGGTGAAGCATCTGTAATCTCTATAAACCCAAAATGTTTTCGAGGAGTTTTTCACTTTGTAGCAGGGCAAGTAAAAGAGTCTAATACATGGATTCAATAAACGGAGGTAGGTAGTTGGTAGTTGTCCCTAATCTGAGGTTCACCTTGTGCCTCACTAGGATACTATCCAATGGGTTTTTATTGATACCTTACATATCCTCTGGCTTCTATTCACTCTCTTGAATCATGAAAACAACAAACAAAACAAACAAAACAAACAGTTCTTTTCCTGCCACACAGTGTCTCTCCCCAAAATTAAAGATGACCTCTGCTTGCTCTAACCCCCCTGAAGCTCTGCCTACCAGGCACAATAGTTGGCCTCCATGTCTGTCCATCTCACGCCAGACAAAACTCCCGCATCCCCCCCTGTGGCTGCACTTCCTCTGCTACCACACCACTGCCAAATATCACACAGCCTGAGACGTTGTTTAATAACACACACTGGAATCAAAAGCCTTCCAGCTTTTTTTTTTATTATTATTGTAAGCTGTTCTCTGTGCTTCAATCTATCCTCCAGTCTAGCAGCATCCTGTAGATTCTGCACACCCAATGGTTTTGGATGGCACTTGATTTCCTGTGCCTTCTCTTTGGCCCATTTGCAAGTTCCAGTTCAGGCTCTTATCTGCCAAGTGACAGATGATCAATGATCATGCTGGCTAACTTGCTTTGCTTTGAGTCCTGCCAAGTGGGGTGAGATGTACACATTACACATGCTCACAGAAACATCCATGCAAGCAAGATACAGATAGACAGACACACACATGGCTAAATTTAATATACACACGTGCATTTATAAAGTTCATCAGGTTCACAACCTTGGCTTATGAAATTATAAAGATTGGACCACATAGCTCCCACAGTATAAATGATATGTGCTTATTAAACACAAACCTGATTTAAGACCTATAACCCGAAACCACATCAATACTTTCCTTTCTTCTTTTCATTAAATCTCCCCCTGTGGCGCAGTGAGCCACCGCTGTAATTACAATATTTTTCATGCCCCACCAGAGGCTATTTGGGTGTCCACTGCTGCAGAGAGCTTTTGATAGCAACAGGTGGCACAGAGCTAGGGAAGGTCAGGACACCCAGTCATCTTACAGTCTGGTACACTGTGCAGGCACAGATGGCATCTCCTCCTCATATTACAAGCAAACTGCATAATCAAGCTCCGAATTAACAAAACACTGAGCTCAGTGGTGCTTGGAGCCCGTCTTTCGCATGCCCTGCTTTTTAATAGGTATTTAAGGGAGAAAGAAACAAAAATACACAGGTGATGAGCTGAACTTACCAAGGACGGTGAGTGTGAGCAGAAGGTTCTTGAACAGCTTGGAGCAGATTGTGGCACATTTGGACTGAGGCCTGGCCTCAATGGGCTCCAGGTGACTCTCGTGCATCCTCACCTCAACTTGTTTAGGCATACTGTTGGCACTGTGAGAGAGAGAAAAAAAATTTAATGAAATGATTTACCAATAAAAGGCAAAAACATCAAGCTTCGAAATCAAAACTTTACCATACAGAAACATTAATCAGTATATATCATGTGGTCTTGTTCATTTATGAGAACAAGACTCTACAATAAAAGTCAGCGTCAAAAACCAGAAATCAGATCCTTTGGATGTGTATAATGTCTCTGAAACCCAGCATATAGTAAAAAGAAAGCAGTCCAATGAAAAATGTTAAGCATTCAAGTGTGTTGCCAAGCTGTCACTCCAACACTGCTCATGGTTACTATAGCGTCCAACAGATGGAAGCTGACTACAAGCTGCTGCTTGTAAAACTGCAGTCCTTTGGGGCAATACTTCAGACACGAAGCACCTCAGTCGGACAGTTTATAAAGACTGATTATATGCATCTCTTAAGTACAGCACCATGTTAAAGATTTTTTGTAAAGAACTCGCTCTGTATTTTGATAGAATAACATTTGGGGTTATATAAGACATAAGAATTTACAGGCATATCTACATTATGTGATTTTTTGACAGACTTCTTTATGCTGATAATAACTTTGCTGATAATAACTTTATCAGCATAAAGAAATGGCGTGGATTGTGAAGTAGATTGTATTTTGAATGCAAGTTTCAAACCCTGATATATTACAGGCGTACTTTATCATGCCAACCTAATACAGTAATTGAATTAATTAGTGTATAAGGTTGTTCACATCCTCTGGAGTGTCTAGAGATACAAAAATTAAAAAGTGAAACAGATGCTAAATTGATAATAAAAAAGTTTGATGAATTACAAAGAGGAGGAGCAAACACAGTGACTTATACTTATACACCCACTTAAACCCTATATTCTTTGTCTCGGTTATTATTGTGTGATAGTAAATTTAGAAGCACACAAAACCTCATATACAATTGTAGGAAGAGGGGGTTCAGTCCCACAGCGTAATTAATTGAATGAAGCGTGATTTCCCATTACAGGCAGCACAGAACAGTTTCCTGCAGTTCCGTCGAGGTATGAATGAGTTTGTTAGTGAGAAGAGAGCCAGCTGTGTCTGTCACATGGCAGTCAGGCAGGTGTTCAATAGCTCTGTCGGAGAAAGTGATTGAGAATGAGAAAGGAAAAGAGGTACAGTAGCTTTTTATTCATTGTCCGCTCAACAAGTTGCAGGAATAATCTATCAAATTGTCTTTGCTCGGTTTGACATTTTTTTTGTCTATGAGGAAATAGAAACGTCTCCATGTTGCTATTCATCACCAATAAGCCCATGAAAATGTCTGCTGTGATGAAATACAAAGAAAAGCAAAGAAGAAATAATGTGACTCTGACCTTTCACCTCACCCTGGGGTTCATGGCCTAAAACTCACAAATGGATGCCTCAATAGTGAAGTTTCTTTTCTCTCTCTTTTTGTCCTTATACCCTCCCCCCATAGTCCATGATGAAGTCAGAACACTTCATAGATATTAATCATGTTGGCTGTCAAGTTTTCTTTCAAAGCTGAAACTTGATCAAAGGCAAGACAGGGAGCTCAAATCAATAGGAAACTTCCTCCTAACCAAAAGCTCTTTATGGTGTTATTGTTGTTGTGTAAGTAGTCACTAATAATTCCACACGAGCACACACACAGAGACTCACACATTTACACACACCTCCCCCAGCTTTGTGTATCGCTGTGTTGTGAGCTTGGCTATAGGAAGACCAAATGGCCAGCTTCCAGGCACACAGATGGACCAGTCCTATCTCATCTTATTAATTTCAAAGTGAAGTGTGAAATATAGGAAATACATGCAAACAGCAGGCAAATGGTAGCCACCATTACACTGTGTTATTTCATCCATAAGAAAAAAGCTGAATGGATTAGCAAAACCCCAGAAATAAAATGCAGAATAATTAGCATTACCATGTAATCCCATTCCGTAAGAGTGATGAGGGCTACTAATTGAATTTTTCCCCTTTTCTCTCACTTGCATTATTTTTAGCAGTGAAAGAGAGAGGAAGCAGACGTTGGCCGTCACAGAGGTCGGATATTATGCTGTCATGATCCTCTCATTAGTGCTTCTCTCACCAAGTCAGAGGCATATGAGAGAGTGGGCTTCTGCGCCCCAGTGATAGATGAAAATGAAAATGTATAGCAAAGAGTAATCAACTGCAGCAGAGGACTATCATTTGCGACAGGAGGAAATAATAATGTGTTTTTTGTGTTATAGAATAATTTTGCTGGATGGGAAATTATTTCCTTGTTGTACATAATTGTACAGCTTTCCTTAAAAAGGCATGAGCTTAGAATTAATTCTCTCTGCCTTATAGAATAATACGGATATTAAGCTTCAACGGATCTGAGCTTTTCTTTCGGAAACTGTAAATACAAAAAAATGATGTTAAAATCCACTAAAACCAGAGAACAGAACCTCAAAATTCAAAAGTCATGACATTCAAATACAGACTCAGACACACACACACACACACACACAGAGAGAGAGAGAGATCTTCTGTGCAGTCTCTAATGGGATCATCTGATGAAGCATTTAATCTTGGCCAAGGGCTTAGTAGATTAATTGCATTACATGGCCGTAAAGCTATGAAGAATAAATGAAGGTCTTAATAAACCAACACCTGGTGACAACCCAAGTGAAAGATATTCAGATTCTCCCAAATTATAATTCCCTATTCACTTATGCACAAGAGAAGTTAGAGAGGATCCCTCAAGTCTTCATATCTAAGTCAATTGCAAGAGTGTTACTGAATCATTCAATGACTAAAGTGAATGAACAGTAAAAAGAGTAAAAGCATAATGTGCCCAGAACTGTAAATGGGATGAATAATACTTACTTCATTTCTGTTGGAGTTGAGGTAAGTGCTATATACATTGACCAGGGTCAAATCTCCAATTAAGAGGGTATCAGAACAAGAAATCGTTAAGATGATCTTGACTGCTCCATCAAAAAATGTTGCCAGATGTCAGCAGATATGGTCCCAAGTACAGCCGGTGGCTGAAAAACAACCAAAGTTCTGCTGACAGCTAGCAGCTCTCAGCTGTCCACCAGCTCTTCCAAGGCATCCAGAGAGGAGCGAGTCAACACAGCCCAGACGCAGACCCAGTCACAGCCACAGCAACCTGAATTGCCCCATCCTGATGTCTGCAAAACCCCCCTCAGCCCCCACCCCCTGACTCCACCACCACCCACAACCAGCTACACACACAGAGCACACACACATACACACACACATGCATCCAACAAACCTAGAAATAAATAAATAAATAAAAAGAAGAAGTGGGGGGAGGAGTCAATATCTGAGCTTAAGAGTCAAATCCCCCAGGGGCCCTCATTCCCTGGACACTGTAATCCCTCCAGAGAGCACACTCGCACACTCGCAGACTCATCCAGCTACTTGGGATTGCGAGGCAAAAGCCAGGCTTCTGGAGATGAGCATGATGATGCCTGCTAATGGCACAATGCAGACAGCAGTGCTTTGTAAGTAGCCATTTTGCTGAGAGGGGAATAAACGACAAAGGAAAGACAAATGGAATATTTAATATTCATAATGTTGCCGTTTGGGGGGTTTTAAGATCATCCTGATGGACAACAGATGAGAGTCAATGTTTACTGTTCTCTGTAGTTATGCTACAGCATATTATGTCATTCTTGTACCACAGTGGTCCAGGAGCATAATACTATGAGGTAGACTGTAAATGGTTATGTCACATAAGACCACTCTTACAAATCATGATATTCAAAGATATAAGAAATGCATATAAAGTCCTCAATAAAAAAAACATATACTTATTTAAAAAGGGAAGACAAAATATATTTTCTATCTTTAAAGATACTAGCAAAATAAGGTCTACACATTCAAATCGCACACATTCCATATAGATTTACGTATCCCCACTATTCAATAAAACTCCAAAGCAATGAACTCCAAAGCACAAATGACCAACGTGATTCATGTGAGGATGGTGTCACGCTGATTTCCCTCTAGTCTCCCAGCAGCATGGGACTTCACATTGTATTGAGCAGTATCACATTATTCTAATTAGGGAAATGTGTTGGAAAGCTATTTCCTCTTCAAAAAATGACCAACTACGCAACAAAAGCCAGAGGAATCCCATCTCTTGCGGCAGAGGTTGTGTCATGAGAAATCACTCATCCTAAATCCCTTGACATGTCATACTCACTCAAAAGACCCCCTCAGGGAAGAGAGAGCATTTTCAGGATGGGAGTGAGAGACTAGGACAGAGCAGAAGGGGTTACAAGGGGGAGAAAGAGGGACACTAGGGGAGAAGGGGGTATTGGGGTCACACCAGCACCTCTCAGCCAAAAGAGGGGCCTATGAGGGGAAGGCTGAAGCAGCCATCCCTGCTCTTGGCTGGTACCATGTGAAGCTCTCTGCTTCCTCTCTCTTCCTTCTGAGGGGCTTTGTTTCACACGCAAACAGTGGCAGTGGCCCCAACTGCCCGGCCAAGCGCTGCATCCAAACTGGCAGTGGTGAGAAAAGTAGGGAGGGGGTTCGAATGGGAGGGGGTGTAAGGGTATAGCGGGAGGGGAGGGGGCAGTGGGCATGTCCAGAGTGCCAGTTCTTTCAGGCCACTGATGTCATGCCTCTGCCCACCGTGGGAGAGCAGCGGAGGGACCAAGGCGCCCCTTTCTCTTTCCCCCTCCACAGTCTCTTTTTCCAGGATGAATGAATCTTTCAGAAGCTGCGGCCCATTGTGTCCCATAATCGACGGCGATTATCCCGATTTTATGCTGCCTTCCCAGTGCGAGGAGGTTCCCTGAGTGCTGGCATTGAGGACTGCTGCGATGCAGCAAGGACCACGAGGAGTTGTCCTAGCAACACTCTGCGGCTTAGAGAGAAGGGGATGAAGGGGAAAGAGGAAGCTCACAGCCACACACACACACACACACACACACCCACACCCAGCATACAAACACATAGCCTGCACACACACCATATAAAGATGGGGCATGGCTTGAAAGATTAGCAAACAGATATACAAATATTATATCTTTACCTCACCACAGAAAATTTCATTTCATAGATAAAGACGTAATTAAGCATTCACACTATTTTAAAAGTGTCACAGGACATTCTTTGGCAACCATGCTGCATAATAAATGAGCTACGGTCACACGCATACAATGCCACTCTACCATCCACAACATGTGCTTACATAATAATTGACAATTCTGCATTAGTGACCAGTTGCATGCTTATACTTGTCTAATTCAGGTTGTTGGGACACATACAACAGAGGAAGATGTAAATGAGAATACAAGTTTCCCACTGGTCTCTGGAGGGGCCCCGTGCCCGTTCTCATGACTGGAGCATCACAATATACTGTGAGGTAAAGACAACTGGAGCTGGGCCAAGCTCCGGATATATCTGGCCCCTCTGGGCCTCACAGCCACTTGCCATGCAGTGGGAAGAAATGGGCTCACACATACTGGCTGCCTAGGAGCTGTGAAAAAGCCCCCCCAAATGAAGCTCTCAGCAAACACTCCAGGTTGTGCTGTGCATAGGAAGTGGGAGATAAATTCCAGCATCTGAAGAATGGGAAGCTTTGTCACTCTATGCCTCTCAATTATATATCCCTAGATGGTTCTCGGGATGAATGCATTTAGTGAGAGATAGTTACAGATAGATGTGTGGAGTGTCATGCAAATCTGGATTATTCCATCAGCAGTGTAACACTTAAGAGTGCTGCATGCTAAGATACAATATCTCCTATAAGTGGAGGGACCATAGGAGAAAACTTTCCCATCGGGTGAAAGTTGGCTCATAGATTCAACGCCAAATACCAAACCACAATCAACGCCGGGCTTTCCTGTTATTCCCAGTACATGGGACAACAACTACCCAAATGAAATGTATCTACCAGTTTCTCTGTCAGATCATCTCTTGGAAACTCATGTTTAAAGATGTACAAATCAAACTATGTGTTCCATATCTAACAAGTGTTTCATATATGCCTCTGATCTGCAAAAGAATCCTTTAAATGTGTGTGCCCACTGTGTGCATATATTCATGTATATCAGCCTCTTCCCAATCTACTCATCCAAAGCACAACACACACTTGGTCGAATCTTCGTTTTCCTATATCAACTTTTATGGGTAATAGAGTGACTGCAAACAAAGGTATGTGCTGTGCAGAGTCACTCAGTGGTCTCAAAGACTGGCACAGAGCCAAAGAAGTTGCACACTAAATGAAGCAGATTTTTGCTGCTATTCACTGAAGTCAATTCAATGCTGTCAGTCACTGTGAATGAAATAATTTATCAAAAATACAACAAAAACGCATTGCTTTTTGCTTTAATTTTTACAAACTATACAATGAAATTTGAGGTATTGAAAACTTAAATGGCGAAAAAAGAGGTAAAGATGTTGTAAAATACTTTATTCTATGTATTGGCTACTATTGATTGACTGTTTAATACCACATTTCTGGGTGATTATTACAGTAAGGTCTGCCTTAACTGTGAGCAGTCTGGTCTTGAAGGGTTAACCCTTCCAAACAGATATGGGGTAGCAGGGCAGGCATTCAGTACCATGGTCAGTGACACAGCCCTAGTTCCTCAGCTCACAGTGACTGGAGCTGCGTTGCTGAAGGAGTTTCTTTTACCACAACTGATCCTAGGTGATCTTAAGGATAGAAACATACCATAAACATGTCACTGTTGTCAGATGATTAGCATGTGTTATTGTCGTACAAACTCTTGACAGACAGGAATTCACACACAAATAGAGTGACTTCTGGGAGGTGTTTTTCTGTAACAATCCTACAGAAGAAAACCATTCTCCTTTTTGGTTATCATGTGCAGCATGTGGTTTACACGTTGTATGTGACTGTTGTGACACTGTAACTCCTGTGTATATGCTTTTCGTAACATTTGTTTTCTATTTTACAGTCCGGGTGGATCAGCATTTTAGCAACGCATGATTGAGCCATACTGTACGTGCCTGTCCCTCAGCATCCTCTAAGGTTTCCCTTTGTTTGGCACAAGTCTTTGTGTCCATAATGAGGCAATCATTAGAGAGCCTCTGGGAATCCGGAGGCTTGTGTTGTAGTCTGCATAGGTCTCTCAGATGTGACCAATTCCACTATAATTATGTGCTAACAGTCTATTATGCTGGGGAGTGGTTGTCATAGGAATGAATTGGGTGATTCCTATTCATCTGGATAATATCTGCAGAGAAACTTAGTTTGACGCCTCCTATCCAACCACAACCCGCTTAACAGCCGCTGCTACAGTTGTCACTCAAATATAATTAATTACTCATACCAACATGACTTTACCTCTGCACATTTAAGTCTCCTCTTTTCTCTTTTTTTGTTGCATTCAAAGTGACCAACTCCCAAACTCTCTGGCATTCATATTGCATATCTCAGCTTTAGAAACTCTCACTCTTTCCTCCATCATGTTCTAAAAATCTTAACTTTGATGCTATGATTGCAGCGGTCTCCTTCAAAGCTACAACCACAAGAATTTTTTTACTGCCCATACAGTATCCCCTATCCCCAGTTCCCATATTTTGCCTAAAGCTGCACAGATGAAAGGTCAGTGGTAAAAAGAAGATCATCCATAGTCATGTTTTCTTGCTGTACCTCCCCACAACCTCCTCTATCAGATAAGGTTTCACACACAGTCAAATCTCATCTATTTCTTCCTATAGCTGCTCATGTGTTCATACCGGCTGCATATGAAGCAATGCTACTATCATTAGCAAAGACGCATCTGTTTAACAGAGCTGGCTATATAGAAGCATGCAGCTTTTGATGGCTTTGGTCCGATCCCCACAGGAGCTCATTAAATCTGCGAGTAAGGCAGGACCACCCCACCCCCCACTAAACCGCCGCTATGGTATACCCGCTACATTGCTGAGAGGGGGATGACAGAGGCCGAGAGAGAGGCGTATAGTAGACAGAGGGAAGGGTGGGAGGGGTGAAATGGCAAGAATGCGATATAAAGATAAGGGAAGGGTAAAGGAAAAAGGGGGAAGGGTGGAAAAGGAAAGGTGTGGCTGATGAAGGTAAGGATGGAGACAAAGGAATTGAATGGAAAACAGATGGGAATATAAGTGAAGGTGGAGAGAAAGGT